CGCCGCCCGCCGCGTCAGATAGCCGCGACGCGCGCATCGAGTCGCGTCGGAGAGCCGCGCCGCACCAGCAGCAGCATCTGCAGTGAAAAAGAAGGAACTACGGTGCGGTGCAAGAAAGAAACCCGGTGGCGGCCGTGCGAGGCAGGCGACCTCTTGCGAGCCTTGGGGAGACTGCTCAGCTGTTCCGCAGGCTGGAAGTACCTCGCCAGGGTTGTGGGCCTCTGTGTGTGCATGGACCCTCAGCTCGAACGGTTTGCCGACACGCTTGCTCTCGCCGGCATTGACATCACACAGCCGTTCGACGTGCGATGGTACAACGCGCACGCGATCGAACATTCCCTGCCGCTGAGCCCGCTGCCGACCTTTGAGCGGCCACCGTCAGACGGCACGCTCGCAGTGCTGCTCGGCAATAGCACGGCGCTTTGGTCCGCCTTTTTGCGCTGGCTCGCCGCGCAGCCGGACCCCGAGAGCGTCACAGACCCGCTCGACACGTACACAGCGTCGGTCATATCCGCCGCAGTCGCCGATCTGACGGGCGGAGCACGCCACGACATCTTCTGGGTGACCGACTCGTCGCGGCTCGTCTCGATGCAGCGCGTTGCGCTGGTGAGTGGCCTCTGCTACCATGACGCCGAGACGCAGCTCTCGATCCACCCGGCCTTCGGCGCGTGGGTCGCCTTCCGGGCCGTCGTCGTGCTCGACGCGCCGGCCGCGCGATTCGGCGATTCTCCGCCGCCGCTCGTCCGCTGCCTGCTTACCGACGCGGACAAGGCGTCGGCGAGAGACGCCATGGCGGCCGCGCTGCGAGCTAGCGACGAGGCGAATCTGTGCACCCAGCTGCACGGGGCGCGCCTGCACACACGCAAGCCACGTGAACGCAGGCGCACCCACTAGCGACCGTCTCCACATCCCCTTGTAGGCCAAGGGGATGGAGCGCGACGTACGGCTCGCATGGGCCGCGCTGCGCGATTGCGTGACGGTTGGGCGCGATCACCGGTACAGCGAGGCGCAGCTCGTGTACCACTACACAAAAGACAGGGAGGTGCTGATGCATGCGATGCGCGCGCAGCCAGCGGCGACATGACAGTGGCATGAGTGAGTGTCTCTGAGACCGTCGGAGCAGGCCACTGCGCGTGTACCGCAGAATCGGCACATTCCCGCCCGCCCGGGTCATGCGTCAACACTCTACGTAGTCTCTACTGCTCCCCCGAGACTCCGAGACCTGTCCCACAGCCTGTCGTGTGTCTCGAGTCTGAGACCCCTCTCCGCGCCTATCTGCTGCTCTCGCAAAAAAATTCTTAGCTTTAAAAACTTAAAAAGTTTTTAAAGCTAATTAGCTAAAAGGCCAAGCGCCGTGCAAGAGCCACTGCTCTCTCTCGGGCGTGAGTAAATCGCCTTTTTTATTGATCGATGTTGTCTATACATGGAGACTATTCCAAGAAGTAGTAGTGGGGGAAACATGCATTCGAGAAGAGAGAGCCCTCCGCCCCCCGGGGGGGCCTGCATCGCCGCGACCAGTGAGCAGTGTGCACAGGCTTCACTCTCTTCAGTGGGCTGTGGACACACAAGTGAGTCTCGGCCTGGTCTCAGCCGGCAGTCGGCACGCGTAGAGCGTTGCCGAGGAGAGAAGAGTACAAATGTCGGCTCAGGCCACCAACAAGATATCTGACTTCGCGTCGTCGTCATCCGCGCCGCCGCCGTCCGGCGCTTGTCTCTCGCCGCTGCTCGCATAGCGCGTCGCCGCCGCCATCACCTCGACCTCGACCGCACCCTCGTCCAGCTGGACCCCCCCTCGCGCTTCGGCCCGATCGGCGAGTATTTGTTGCAATAGGCTTTTACGCTCCTCAAAGTGCGAGCTAGCCTTGTTCTGCGGCGAGTCGGGGTCGTCGGGTGGGTAGAAGAGGCGGCTCCTGCGCGAAACCGGCGACCGCGCCCTCCATGAGTCGCCAAACATGTCGGCCGTGGCATGCTCCGTGGACGCGGCGGCGAACGACGTAAAGACAGCCACCGGTTGCCGGCTCGGCTCGGTCGTGCGCCCGCTCGCATCAGCGATGTCGCTGGCCTTGCCCTGCTGCGCCGCCAGCGCCGCCACGCCGACAAGGACGACAAAGAGCGCCACGATAAAGACGGCGAGCTTCCACGTCGTCTCGGCGAGGCAGGTGAACTCGTCGAAAAGGAGGCCACCCTGGATGATGTTGTTGGAGATGATCATCACGGTGTACAGCGGCACCGTGAAAGCCGCCTTGCCAGCGCCGAGCCCCCAGTTGAGCAGCCACAACTGGACGTGGAGAGGGGAATGGCTCGCCATTTTCGCGTGGGCAGAGAAACAAGAGCGGGCGGCTGGGCAGCAGCACCTGCGCCGGGAAGCAGGCCAGGATGCCCGCGAACGAGGCCCATGTCACGCCGTTAGAGAGCACCGAGGTGTCGCCCTGAGAAGGAGGAGAGGCAAAGGGAGCGGGGCTGCGGTGGGACGGAGGCGAGGGCGGCCGTGGCAAGGCAAGCGACAGTGTGACCTTGCCGATCCAGCGGTGCGCAACCCCCTCGGAGAAAATCTTCGAGAAGACAATGGAGAAAGCGCCCGCGACGCCCGAGGCGGCTGTCGCCCCGACGGCCATCTTGACCGACGTCCTCGCGGGGCGCCACCGCAATAGCGGCGATCGCGGGAGGAGCAGGAGCACCCAAGCGCACACGTAGCAGACGGCGGGGCATGCGTAGGCTAGGTGGGGAGGGAGGGCAGACGTGAGCAAGACATGGGAGCTTCAACCGAGGGCACGGTACCCGTTGCAACGGAGGCAGCGAGGGAGGTGCTGCAAGGTGCCAGATTCTGGCCGGCATATGGCCCAGAGCGGGTGTGGCAGTGCGTAGGTGTGCAAAGTCGCCTAGAAACGCAGTCCGCTTGAAGTAGCCACCGATCTCGTCGTACTCGAGGTCGTGGTCCGAGGATGGGCCAAAGGCGCTCGTGAGGCCGATGCCAGTGAGGACGACGAGGATGCTGCGTGCGCCGGGGGGACGGGTTCGAGCATCGAGGGGTGGGCCGCGTGGCCCGGCCGTTTGCTGGGAGCGCAGCGCGACTGCAGAGGCCGTACCACACTCGCTCTGAAGTTGTCGCCGTGTGCCCTTGGTAGTGGCAGTGTGCTCTGGCAGCGATGCGTGGCGGGTGGTAAACTGGAGGCTCACCTCAGCCATTCGAGTCGCGAGAGCGACTCCTTGACCCCGCACACGCAGCCAAAGCGCGCGAGGAGTGCGCTGAAGACGATGCCGAGGCCAAATATGGGCGCGATCACCTAGAGAGTAGAGCGTGTTATCGGGACGCAAGCCGGTGTGCTGGAGCGCAAGCTGTCCGTTGGCGCGGCGCCACTAGCGGCGCGAGCGAGAGAGCATAGAACGAGAGCGACACCTCGGACGCCGTGTTCATGATGAACCCGAGCCACCAGCGCTTGCGGTGGGCGAATCGAATTATGGGAGGACACCACCTGTGCGCGAACGGATGGCTCGACTCCGCGCAGGCAATCGCGCAATTTCAGCGCTGATGCAGCCGGCAGAGAGGCAGGCCGCTGGGAGCCACGGGGCCGCGCACCTCACGACTCGGAAGGGTGGCCCTTCCTCGATGTCTGCGGAGCGCTTCATAATGATGAGCGCTACCGAGGAGATGAGCGCGGATAGCATGGCGAGGCAGATGCCCACCACAAACATGGGGTCAAAGCTCTCATCCTCCTTTGTGTCCCGCTCGAGGCGCTCGCAGAAGGACAGCGGAGAGAGCGGTGGCTGCGCAGGCGGCGCGTTGCTAGCACCGGCGCCGGAGGAACTCGGAGCGTCCATGCCCAGCCACCCACCTCCAGGGCTGCGCGCGGCCGTGGGCCTCCAAACAATATGCAGAAGAGGGGGCGGAAGGCGAAACAACTCGCGTCGTGCCTGCCCGACCTCCCCGAGTTTCTAGCTAACACATATAGTTATCGTAACCCGAGCTGGTGTGGGCCTGACTCTCACATGTCGTCGTATGCGAGGTTCTTGTGTGTCTTATCACCCTACTGTGAATCCCCCCATCCCAGGGCCTCCAGGGCTCGCACCTCAACCTCTCATAGACCAGCGCGCACTGCCATATTTTCTTCTCAATCAATCAATAACAGGTCTGTGAACAGGAAGAGTGTCAGCTTGCTTGCTGCCATCTTGGCCTGTATATACTTTTCCGGCAAACAAAAAGGAAAACAGAGGGGGCCCAGCACTTTGCGTTTCCGGAAATTTCCAGGGAAAACAGAGGGTGTTTGGTGCTCCATTCTGGAAACTCGCGACTTTCCCTGTGCTGAGTCTGAGAGCTGGTCTGGGGCAAAATCTGAGGACTGAGGCAAAATCGAGGAAACCGGCAACATCCCGGGCTTTTTCCAGGTATTCGGGTTTTTCCAGGTATACCCGCAAAATACCCGGTATTTTGCCGATTTGGCTGATTTTGGGCCCAAACCAGCCTCAGACTCGGCTCAGAGCCCGGAAAATTTGATGGTTTCCCCGGGAAAATAGAGAGGAAAAGAGAGGGTGCTGTAGAGAAAAAAGGGAGAAGAGGAATGGGGGAGGGGGAAAAGGGTCCGGTTTAAGGAAAAAGGGCGCCGAAAAGGGCGCGCGAACCGTTTCAACCAGCAAAGGAAAGGAAAAGAGACGGGGTGCGAGAGGAAAAGTATATACAGCCTAACTGCCATCTCTCCCGATCATGCGTGACAGAGAGATTGACCAACCAAAGCCCCCCCTCTTGTGAGATCCGTGCTTGCACGCCACCGACCGATCCTGAATCGTCCACCGCTCCCAGCTGTGCTCGCCGAGCATCAGCCGCCGCCGCCGCCGCCGCCGACGCGCCGACAACTCCTGAGAAGGCAGGCATCAAATGTCGAGGACGAAGAGAGCATTGCTAGAAATCGCCCCCACTCTGTCGAGCGGGAGCTCGGTGCTCGGGGATACCCATCACTGAGCCGACAATGCTACGGGTAGCCCCAGGGTGGCGCCCACCCCCATACCCTCGGGCACTTGCCTGCGCCCTCACGCGCTAGCCTACGCCCTGCCCCGCAAGATCTCACTCCATCCTGGCCTGCGCGCTGCGGTATACCTCGGCACCCCCTTGCACGGAATCTGAGCCTGAGGGAATCTGAGCGTG